AAGGGAAAGAAAACCTCCTGCTCACTTCACAGATTACTGCAAAGGTGTTTGGCTGTAGGGAGCGTGGTGACTGTCCCCTAGAACACAGGTATTATAACAGAGCTACCCTTAGTTCAACTGAAGAATGTCTACATTGCAATCACAGGTGTGATTAAAGCTAGGGTGGGTGTGCCTACATGAGCTGTAAGTGTGCTAGTGTGGCTAAAAATAGCAGTGAGGAAGCAGAGGTACTTACCCAGGGTCAGGGCGGGCTCTCACAGCCACTGTCTCCATTACTATTTTTAGTTTTGCTAGCTAAAGTAAAGCTACCACGCAGATGCCTACATGAGCTGCACTCACACCTCCAACTGTATTCTAGTCCTACCCTAAGAGGGCACCATTTGGTCAAAAATGTTTACTTTTAATAATTCAATTTCTCTTTGGCTGTTAATCTACTACTACAGCAGAATGGAAACTTATTTACCGCCAGCTGTGTTAATGTTCTGCACTGTTAGTATCGCAAACAAAGTCACTATTTAGCAAAATGCATTTGTTAAAAACATTATCAAATACATTTCAAAGTTCGTTCATGGGGGGGCACTTTTGACATTATGGATTTTCAGATGGCTGGACTGGGCAAAATAGATGCAGCTCTCTTTTAGAGATCATCTAGAGTGTATACCTCATAAATTGACAATATATTTTTCCATTAAAAAAAGATCAAACCCAAGGCATTTAGTTCCCATTCTGATTTAACTACTCACACATTGGTCTATGCCAAAGTTGTTTGGATCTGATTCGCACTTACCCATGTTCAGTTTTGGTTAAAATTCTTTATTTCCAACTCTATTTACAAATTGTGTTTTGACTGGAGATTGGTATTAGATATATAATGTTTCCAGTGGCTTCAGAGAAATCTGCAGCTGGAGAAAAGAGCTCTCTCTCAAAAGCTAAAAACATGTCTGACAGCTTTGCAAAATTTGGCTCACCCATTCATTCTGCGCAAGTAATATATATATATTTTTGACAGGCATGTAAAATACCATCATTTGTTTTTCTACTGTCACCAGTCAAGGGCAGGCAAGCAGGTTTTGTACATATATAGGAAAATGTTCATGGCAGTTATTCAAGCCAGCTGGATGTGGATAAATAAATGTCTTAGAGATGAAAATTAAAAGTAAACGTCTACAACATGCACACAAGCTTTTGGCTCAAACAGTGCATTTTAAAGCAAAACTATTACTGGGTATTTTTAATTTAACTTATTTTTCTCCAAGTTAAACTAAACAAATAAACAAAACCCAAACATATTTTGTACAACAACATTTTTATAGTTTTAATGATTCCACTCCCTGCCTCCACTAGAGCTTATAAGAAAGAGAGAATATGCATTGCAAACTCTGATGTTCTTCCACCCACTTGTCATTTAAAAGCTTAGTCCCCTTTTCATTTTGCCTTTCTTTTCATCCTCCAATTAATGCTTAAGCATCAAAACTCCTCCCATACCACCCACTGCCACTAACAAAACTGGGAAAAGCAGCACAAGCTTCCTTGTGACACCCAACCCCATTGCAGTAGTTTAAATGTCTCTTCATCAGATCATGATTATTTTGGGCTCTGTCATCCAAGTTCACATGCTCCTGTAAATAAATGTTCTCACAGCTACCTTGGGATGTGGAATAGATCAGCAGCCTAGTTGGGAGAACGGATGGGGAGTCTGTGTCTCCCTCTCTTGGAAAGATCAACAGATAGGTCCATCCCAGTTTTTATAGCTCCCAGTCTGTCCTAAACTTTCTACTAACTGTACATTTTGAAAGGTCATCCCTCCTCCTGCCAATGTGAAAAAGGACATAGGGGAATACAATGGACATTTTTCAGGAGCTGATCTCAAATGCCCCTTAGTGATGACAAGTGGACACTGCTGAGTGAATTCATGTACCATTCCTGACTTGAGCAGGATTCAGATAGTTGTGAGGAGGGGCACGGAATGAGTAATGTAGCACTAAAAATGTGTTTTGACTGTGCTTTGATGACATCATAACCTTAATGGAATGCTAAAGGACATCTTCCAGTGTCCAAAGTTGCCAATTAAGTCTTTGCTCAAAAAGCTCAACTTCCTTTTTAGGAGAAAGAAAAGCAGGACTTGTGGCACCTTAGAGACTAAGAAATTTATTTATAAATTTATTTATAAATTTGTTAGTCTCCAAGGTGTCACAAGTCCTCCTTTTCTTTTTGCGGATACAGACTAACACGGCTGCTACTCTGAAACCTTTTTAGGAGAGATTTCTTCAGTCAAAATGCCAAACTAGCCTATTTTCTTGAATTTTTTTTTTAAGCTAAGGATAACTGTAGCATATAACAGAGACTTGTCTGTCACATGGAGCAAAAGGCCAACATTTTCAAACCCATTTTCTTAAATCCATTCAGCCCTCTGAAAATCAGGCCAATTTTATATCTGGGAGCCTAAATATGGATTTAGAAGCTGAACTTTAAGCACCCAGGTTGGAACATTTTGGACAGATTTTAATTTTTTTAAATTGTCCCTGAATGAAAGAGAACGTACACGCAGGCAAATGAAGAAACTCAATTTAATCTGCCAGATTTCTTCACTGTATTGGGGTGGCATCCTCTTGTGAGGTAACAATGACATCTGGATGGATAGAAAGGCATGACTGGGCAGTTCTGCAGTGTCCTGATGAAAAACTATGACTAGGTTAAAAATAAATAGATAAATGTTGAGCCACTGAACACTCAAATCTAATTATCTGATTTTATTGTGCCGGACACAAAATTGCAAGGGCGTTGATAAAAAAACAAATTGATGGAGGCAGCTTTCCTTAAGTAAAATTGCCCCAGGTACACTTGAGAGAATTACGAAATACCATAAGGGAGAGATTTTCAAAAATTAGTAAAAAGACTTTGGAAGCACAAGTCCCTTTGAAAGTTAATGGGACATAGCTCCTAACTTACGTAGGAAACCTCACCTTACATGAACAACCACAGTACCATAATAGTCTGACTGTAGTAGCTCTACCTGCTACCTGACTGTTTCTAAAGAATGTCATGACAAGAGGCTCAGGGCCAAATGGTGCTCTGAATTGTGAGGTGGCAGTGGGGGGAAGAGAGTGTATTAATGTGCTACTGTATACATTATGGTTACTATTCAGAAGCCTCAACTAGTACACTGGGCATGGTGCAAAACACACAGTGAGAGACAGTCCCTGTTCCAAAAACAGCTTACGATTGGACTTAAGGCAAAACATGATATGCTAGTGTAACAAACTAGGGTGGAGGGAGGAAGGGGTGGGTACTTAGACTGGAAGGTGTGGCAGGAAGGTGACATGAAGATACAGGTACTTAGACAGGCTATATACACAATTTACAGGACTGAGGGGGATTTTTCTTCTTTTTAAAAGATATAAATACAGAATAGATAGCAATATAATGGTGGCAGTAGTCTCTACTGGGCACTTGAATAGCCATTATCAGTTGGCAGTTTACTGGAGACATCACAATAGAAGTAGATTCTTAAAAGGGCATGGTTGCTGCTCTACAGATCAGTTCGGTGAGGGTGTTTGATGCATAAGTGATGGCATGGAAGAAGGTGTGATGAAATTTATGGGAGAAGCTGACAAATGAGCAACAATGGTTGGCACCAATGGTAGAGTGGAGTGGAGGGGGGAATATAAAATAAAAGAAAGGATATGTATGATGGTGTTAAATTGTGAAGGGGAGCAATTCATTTAGGCACTTCTGAAAATTTTACTCAAGAACAAGAGGCTTGTAACTATTTGAAATGGGGGTAAATAGGGGGCCAGATGAGAGGCCTTTGAAAGGGAGACAACATGGCTACAGTAACAGGAAGACAATCTTAGCAGCAGCATTTTGAATGGATCTGAACAGGGAGAGTTAGGTGACAGGAAAAGCTTCGAAGTTTGAAGTCACAAGGGCCTGGATGAGAGTCTTAGTATATGTTCAGAGAGAAAAGGCTGAATATTGGAGATCTTATTGGGGAAAAAGTACAAGATAAGGACATGGCTTGGAGGTTGTATTGTATTTCCTGATATTCCAATTAACATATGGCGCACCTACACCAATACATCTAAGCATTTAAGCATGCAAAAGTAGCCAAAGTTTTGATCACTTAATTGTATTACATCTGTTTTAGTGTTATATGGAAATGAATGCTAAGTAAGGGCAATAAATTCAGAACATAACATTTTCAACTTATGGAATAATTAATGTCTATAACAGCTTTTATAGGCAGAATTGTTGAGGTAATGACACAGAGTCATTCATGCAATAATTAGATGTCATCCTGAGAATTACTAAGTTTTAAAAACATGATTCTCAGTAGCTCCAGTAATTTCTGATAGTAAATGTCTTTACAATAGCAAATAAGTAATATTGTGCATTTTCTAGCCTAACACAAACAAAATCTCCATTTTGCAATAAAAGTAATCTTGAAGCCATAATTAATTTGGCAAGTGTCTTAAATGACTGTGGTTTTCAAGAAAAATATTTACTGATAACGACTGAAAATTGAGAATAGCATATATCAGACTTTGGCTCAGTAAACCTTTAACATTTTATGTATTTTCCCCACATTTTATGATTCATATTTCACTCTGTGATTATGAAAATGTTTGGCAGACTGTGTCTATGTAGGATGATGTTCATAGTTAGAAAGCTAGGCAGCTAAAGTACTGTAAACATTTGGAAAATGTTTTAATATTTTATCACAGTGAATTGAGATTCTGTGGCCTGCATTGTGCAGGAGGTCAGACTAGATGATCATAATGGTCCCTTCGGACCTTAATATCTATGAATCTATCTAAAAGTTATCCCTGCTGTATATCTTCTCCCATTCTGAGACAACAGTTGAAGATACATTGTTGCATATTATTGTACTCTAACTGACTCTGGCTATAGAATTGCAGTTCAATTTATCTCTCTAATTTTTAAATAAAATCAGGGAATTATACCACAGACATTTTAATCAATTGCATTGTGTTACTTACAGCTGCTCCAATGATCCAAGTCCTTTGAATGTGTGCTGGTCTATTGTGTGGATTTCATTCTTGTACAAGAAACTGCAAAAAATCAAATTATTGCAATGAGAAATAGCAGACTCAAACACTGCATTAACTTGTCTTCTTTTAGAATTAAGTCATTAAATGTATTAAGGACATTATGGCATCTCCTGAGTGACAAGGTAAAAAAATACGTGTTGGATAAACATATCAGTATTTTTTTCTAATGCTAAAGCTAACCTATAGAGCATATACAGATATATTTAAGGAAAACAAGAGGCTGTTCAGACTGGATACCTGTCAGCAGAGCCAAGCAAACAATGCACAACAATCTATCACACATATTTAGCCTTTAAGACTATGATTTCCTTACATGTATGTTATTCAATTTTTTCCGTGGGTTTTTTTTTAAACACATTTCTGGGTTGATCACACGTGCTTATACTGTCATCTAAATCCACTAATTCTGGCCACTATTGGAGGCAGGATACTGGACAAGATGGACCAATATTTCGAACTAGAATGGCAATTCCTGCATAACTAGGTTCCCAAGTTGTGTTGGTTACTTGTGATTGCTCAGATAAGCTATATGGCATTGTACCTGTTCACTTAGTGGTTGATCTTATGAGCACTGCTGGTACAAAATAAAGTTTCTGTAAATATTTGAGCAAGCAAATTTCAAATTTACCTTTCAAATTCAAATTCACACAAACATTTGCATGCAAATAGTTGATTGTTTGAATCTTTGTGAAAAGCAAATACAAAAGGGGCATGAGCATAGCCCGAATGAAGTCATTTGCTGAATGAGAAGAATGTCACTCCCTAATCCTAGCATTTCCTCTTTTTAACCTTAATTATCTAAATATAGGTTTCAGAGTAACAGCTGTGTTAGTCTGTATTCGCAAAAAGAAAAGGAGTATTTGTGGCACCTTAGAGACTAACCAATTTATTTGAGCATAAGCGTAAGAGATTAACAGGAATCAAAACATGATTAGACATTTATATGAACAAGAACATCAGAGTTACAATAGCAAACATAAAAATAATATAATGTTATGACCAGAGTCATGAGGTCACGACACATGGTCTACAAGTTTTTTTTTTTCTTAACACATTCTTAGTCTTTGAAGAAATGGTGTAATATTAGTTTTTGTTATGCAGACATCGTTGAGACAAACTGTGGCAAATAGGGGAGTTTGTTTCTTGCTATATTTTCTATATTTGGGACCGCATAGCTTCTTGGGACCCAGGTCTGTGTATGTTGGCTGATATTTTGGGGGAGCATGTGGGGTGCTGTTTGTGACTGCCTCTGTTCCAGGACTGGTGTACATGTGTAAATAAACAAGTTATATTAAAAATGCATCCTGACTCCATGTCACTGATTTCGCCTTCACTGGTAAATCAATCTTCTAGGCCTCAAACATCCATTATTACTTGGCAAAGGGTGACACTGGTGTCAGAAGAAGGAGCAACAACAGCTAAAAGCTTCTGGAAAGAGCCATAAATCCACATGCTGCATGGCATAAGCCAACCTTCCACTGATAGGGGTCAGGAAGAAATCTTACCCATGGGCAGGATATCCCTACTGCACAGTCTCTTGCACCTTCCTCTGAAGAATCTGGTACTGGCTACTGTGGGATACAAGTTAATGGGCTACACAGATAACTGGCCTGATCTAATATAGTAAGTTGTATATTCCTTTGGATGCCTTCTAGCATGACAGACTTTGTCTCCCAAGACTAGTACCTATGAACAGGCAGTTGTGGGGATATGCTTTCCCCTAGGCTGCCTCTACCACATTCCCGGGAATTAGTTTACTTGTCTATTCATGCTCCTCCCTCGAGTATGTGTGTCAGCCAAAGCTTACAAAGACACAAAGCCAAATTCATATACTGAAAGCTTTATAGGACTATGATTTCTTTCCATCCTCTACCAGTCTGAAAGTCTTAAAAAATAATTTTTTTAAACTTTCTTGCCTTCCATTTTTCTTCTCCCAACGGCCTCTTTTCCCTTTGTTCCTCTCTTCTATCCCTATTTTTGTCCTTCAGCATTATGTACTGGCATAGTTGCTATTTCTTAGTGAGTTTCCTGTTTGTGAAAATGCTATGACGAGGAACTTGTCATTGGTATGTTGGAAATAGGGTTTCTGTTTTTTCTGCTTCTTAAGTAGAAACAAACAAACAAAATAAACAAATTCCTCTTTTTGTTTCCCTTTGATCATACTCCATCTTTCTCTGAAGAAGTCAATCTCCCCAGGGAGGGCAGTTTCACAATCTGAAAAATACTGACTTAAAGGATGACAATTTCAGAAAATAAACAACATAAAAGTATGTGAAAGTTATACACCAAGATATGCCGTCACTAGTACTAAAAGACCTCTTGGCCAAATGAACACACACTAGACTGCAGGACAGCATGTTGCATGTAAAATCATTCATAACAAAGGCCAGAACTACACTACAAAGTTTTGTCAGCATAGCTGTGTTGGTCGGGGTGTGAAAAAACACACACATCCCTAGTGAAATAGCTATCCCAGCAAAACCCCCAGTGTAGATGCAGCTGTGTCAACAGAAGAGTGCCTCTGTCTGCAGAGCTAATGTCATTCGAGGAGGCGGTGTTACTATGCTGACAGAAAAACTCCTTCTGTTGGCATATGCTGCACCTGCTGCTATAGCTATGTCCGCAAAGCATCTGTAGGGTAGACAAGGCCAAAGAGTGTGTACGAACTATTGGTTGAATGAAGAGAAAGCAAATTGACTTAACTGCAAATCAGACATTGCAAAAGTAACTCTCAAAGTCCTCTCTCCAGAAACAAACATGAGAATGTTGTGTGTTAATAAAAAGCGCCAAAAACCCCACAAATTAACATTTAAGGGGAAATGAAAGGCATCTGCAGCTTACACAAGCAGACCCTCTAAAACAGATTTCTCTCTCTTGAATTTTGCAAAGTACAGCTGCAATAATAAAATTTCACACCAGGCACTTCCTCACTTGCCTGAATTACTAGGAGAATTGTGGCATGAATTTAAAACATACCACTGATTTTAAAAGCTGAGTGTGAAATAGAAAACAAAATGACAAAATATTGTTACACCGCTAGAAGCAATCCCAGCTTTGGCATAACAGTTGCAGTTTTAATGGAAGTGCCCTGCTCCTTGCCATGGAAACGCCACTATTTCATGGATCACTTATACCAGTTAAATGCAGCAGAATGTCACCAAATAAAAGTTAACCTTGGCACGAAGGAAATCCCGATTCAAAGCTGCCACTGAAAATCATACACCAAGTCTAGAACAATGAAGAGTCTTAAGGCAAGATTTCACTAGCACATCTATATGAAAGATCTCAGCTCAGATAATCTGCTCCCCCCATCACAAAGGTGCAAAACTGGAACAGCAGAATCTCCCTTTTCATTTGCGGAATAATTCATAAGTGACTGATGGTAAATCCTACACCTCTGTCTCTCTGAGGGCTTTAGACTGCCTCCCCACACCGTGGTATCTGAGTGCCTTCCATGTAAAATCATCAGCGAAGTCCCAAATGGATTTCCTGACATCTCTGGCACTTATCCCTTTTACGTGTAAAAACTTTGCGAGGGGTAAGATTTTGGGTGGTGGCCTCACAGTTCAGAGCTGGCTGCACCTTTGAAGCTACACCTATTTTACCTAAAGCTTAAGCAGACCTAGCTGATCCCACATACCCCACTTCTGGAACTCGGGACAGTCTGCACTGCAGGACACTGCCCCCCCCCCCATCTCTCCTGAGCTTCAGGGGTTGGGTTTTTATCCACTCAAAGTTCTTTCCTTCAGTTTCCCCCTGGGCCAAACCAGGGGTGTTGAACTCACCATTGTCAGAAGTAAATGACAAGGGGAATGACACCTGCTTTGTCACTTCAATTATCGGTAAATGGATGCATCATAAGGGAGCCCTCCCCGGAAATCTTCCTCAGTTTCCCCTTTACAGTGCCCCATGCAAAGGAATATTTTCTCTCGCAGCAGCAAATTCAGATCCTTTTATACATATAGAGGGCCACACCCTGCAGATCCCTTCTAGTAAAAACAGTTCCTCTCAAAAACCCAAAATAAAACAAGGTCAGAACACAGCAGCTCTTCAACCCCATTCAAAGGTCACCCTTCCCAGTTTACGCACTTGAGAGTCATTAACCATTCTGTCCCAGTTCCTTTAGCTCCTGTTCCAGGGTCCAACTCTCCAGGCATCCTATCTGAGAGTTCCAAGACCTGCTTCCCTCCCACAAGTCTTCTCCCATTGCACCAAGTCAGCTCTCCCATTAGAGAGATCTCTGCAGTGTTTCACTTCCCCCAGGCTTCCTGCCCTCTGAGTCCTACCCCTGCTCAGGGGAACGTCCCTCCATGACCAACACTATATAAACATATATATTTACCTGCTTTAACCTCTCAATAACTCTTATTTACTTTTCTTAGCTAACACATTTTTAATTAGTTTTCTATAGAATTGGCTGCCAGTGTTGTCTTTGATAGATCTGGAGTACCAATTGATCTGAAGTAAGTGACTGGTCTATAGGGACTAAGAGCCACCTGATGTGGTGTGATTTTTGGTTTAAGCGACCATTATCACAAAGTTCAGTTTGTCTCAGTGGTGAGATAGACTGGAGAGTCTAACGGGACTGTATGTGACTCCATAAAACTGGTATATTGATCCAGTTGTTTCTGGTTTGATGAAACCTCATTATAGAACGTACCAGCAGTTTGGGGTGTCTGCCCTGTTTTCTGACAGTCTACCCTGAGTAAGGCATTCACAGTTGTGAGTCACTCCAGACATCATGACACTCCCATGCTGCCCTTTATCTTTAGACTGACTTCCTTGACCTAATCTGACAGTCCCACAGCCTCTCTGTGCCAAGACCTACTTCTGCTGTGATGCTTACTAAATATTAGACTACTGCACTGAAGGGTACCCTAGAGATATATGGTTTTATACACACTCATAGATTGCACCTCACTTCAAATTAGACAGTTAGGGAAACATGGTGCCTGCTCCTAAGATCTATCTGTTTGTAAAGCACCTAGCACATCAGAGCATGATCCTGATTGGAGCCTTTGATCCACAGAGTAATACAAAGAAAGAAAGAGAGGGAAAATATATGTGGGGGTAATTGTGGGTCTAAAAATCAGCCCCAAAATATTTTGGCGCTGGGACAAATGACAAGGTATGGGATTCTCATGCTCAGGAGCTCTCATGTCTTCAGGAATCACCTCACTTAGCACTAGCCTTGGAAATTACATGTAATAGTTTGTTGGCAGAGGAGGGTATATTGATTGGGCTTGGATTCCTATTTTAATCATAAACATGGTTAAAGATTTTACCTACACAAGAAAAAAGGAGAGAATCCACTGTGTTACATGTTGGGCAATTTCTCAGAAAAAACATTTACTGTTACCCATTTGAAGAATACATTTGCCATATGTTTGGGACTGTTTAGCTAAAGCTAGGAAAGTCATACATCAGACCAATCAGTTCAGGACACTGACAATACAAATTTGTTATTACATAGCACTCTTACATTCTGTAAAAGCTTAATTTGCTTCTTGGGCTCTCCATATTTATGAAAACAGTTACATATTTTAGCGAATAAGGCTAAAGAGCTTTTATAAAATAAATTAGGACTGAATAGGTTACAGGAGACAAATCTGTGTCAATTAAATAGGGACACACCCAAACTTTTCTGCAGAAGAGCGTGATCTTGATGTGGATATTGTGTTTTGTAATGATATAGATTAACAACAATGTAACATGGGAAAGGACATATTACACTGAAGAGAAATACATTAAAATCAGAATGTATATTTTCAGTGTTAGCTGTGGTTGTGAAAACTTTCATGACAATTGTAAAAAGCAAAGTTTAATATATGACGGCTTAGTCTGGAAAGTGAAGTGATGTGCTCAGTGCACTGATTAGCACTTGGATGAATGAAGCCAATTTCCAACCTTCCCAGTGGAGAACAAGTGCGTCAAGTGAACGAGATTATGCAGGGAAAAGATGACAGCCTTAACGTTTCCTTTTGAATTGTCACCTTATACACTGTGATTGTTTGATGGACAATTTTTTTTCCTTGAGGATTAAGAAGAAACAAATTATCCATAACCTTTCTGTCTAGCCAGATGCCATGACAAGAAAAGAGAAGAGCAAATGTAGGTCTCAATTCTGTCTTCTGAGCCGCACTGCAGATCTCCAAAATTTGAAATAACTCGTGAGTTAGAGGAACTACCAGATGCTTCTATGCTCAATTCTTGTTCCACTTAGGTTAGTCCATCTTCAGAAATTTGCATAAGAGCAGATATGTATGTTCCCCCATGTTTGTTATGTTATGACAAAAAATGGCTTGACCTACATTAAAAAAATTATATAGGTTTGTGTATGCCACTATCAAGAACAAACAGAATGGACCAAATATACTAAATTCAATGACAGCAAAACGATAATGGAATAACATATGTTTGAGCTTGTAGAGAAGGATTGGCAAGTCCATAGTGCTTCACTTTTCCACAGCAGTGGTGGTAAGGGGGTGAATGAATACATAATGGTAATAATATTAAACTTCATTCACAACCAGCTTTTCTTCTCCCTCCACGTCCATCATTGGGAAATTCATTGGATAGTGAAAAGAACAAGAGTACTTGTGGCACCTTAGAGACTAACAAATTTATTAGAGCATAAGCTTTCATGAGCTACAGCTCACTTCATCGGATGCATAGAATGGAACATATAGTAAGAGATATATATATAGATATATATACACACACACACAAGTTGGAAGTTATCACACAAATTGTGAGAGGCTAATTAGTTAAGATGAGCTATTATCAGCAGGAGAAAAAAACTTTTGTAGTGATAATCAGGATGGCCCATTTAGACAGTTGACAAGAAGGTGTGAGGATACTTAACATCCGGAAATAGATTCAGTATGTGAAATGACCCAGCCACTCCCAGTCTCTATTCAAACCCAAGTTAATGATATCTAGTTTGCATATTAATTCAAGCTCAGCAGTTTCTCATTGGAGTCTGTTTTTGAAGCTTTTCTGTTGCAAAATTGCCACCCTTAAATCTTTTACTGAGTGGCCAGAGCGGTTGAAGTGCTCTCCTATCAGTTTTTGAATGTTGTGATTCAATTTGTGTCCATTTATTCTTTTGCCCAGAGATTGTCCGGTTTGGCCAATGTACATGGCAGAGGAGCGTTGCTGGCACGGGATGGCATATATCACATTTGTAGATGTGCAGGTGAATGAGCTCCTGATGGCATGGCTAATGTGATTAGGTCCTATGATGGTGTCACTTGAATAAATATGTGGACAGAGTTGGCAATGGGCTTTGTTGCAAGGATAGGTTCCTGGGTTAGTGTTTTTGGTGTGTGGTTGCTGGTGAGTATTTGCTTCAGCTTGGGGGGATGTCTATAAGTGAGTGGCTCATTTCTGCTATTATGTTCTAACTTTGCCCTTTTGTTTCTCAGAACTTCCCTTTAACTATGACACTGTCATATATAATCACATATTTGCAAGCCCAGGATGATGTTTCAGCTAAAGATTCCCTGGAGGAAGTGGAATCCTGAGATGGCATAAAACTGGCACAGCAAATCTAAGATGCTAGCACAGACGGCACATTGGAGACTGGATGGGAAATTTCAGGGAACTGTGCTCCTAGGATCCTCTTCACCATAATGTCCCCTGGGTGCCATTACAAAATGGAGGAAGTTCCAGCAATTACATTATTTTAATCACAGAATAATAGAATACATAGATCCTGTGTTTACCAAATGGTAAAAAAAAAAAAATGTTATTTATTAATTAATTAAATGTATGTGTAAAACATTCACTTATATGTTGGAGTTACAAGGAAATCACAAAAGCTTTACTTTAAATTGTAGGATTTGGAATAAAATAAATTGTGATACTTGTGCAAACTCAAAATCCTCATGAGAGAAAAGGCTTTCGCCTTGAACAAAAACATGAATTTCCAGAAAAATTAACTTTGAATGAGAACATGGCATTTACTTATCTGTTTATTTGATTAGTTAAAGGGCTATTTTTCTATACACTGAGTTGATGAAAGGACTATATGCAACATGAATCTTAATATTTATTATGTTATTTGGATTCACAATCATACTGAGAGTTTCAGGAACTTTCATCTGAAAACTATTTTCATGATACCTTAAGGCTGTTCTCATTTGTACCTCATGGTTGCACTCAACAACAACAAAATAATAAGCATCACAGACAGTGTAATGGATGCTCTCAGGAGCAAGTTTAATTTTAATAGCAAACAATTCAACCTTAAGGTGTCATGAAAACAGTTTTCAGATGAAAGTTCCTGAAACTCAGTATTATTGTGAATCCAAATGGTACCTAACCGAAGGCACATTTTTCATACACAAAAAACAATATGGAATATCACAGTTATGTCAAACCTTATTTACATATGGGAGATGCATAGAAAAAAATAGAACAAATGAGACTCAGATTCTTCAAAAAACCAAAATCAACAGGTGCGGTCACACATGCAAATTATATTTTCAATGGAAACTAATGAAAGCAGTAAAAAAACCCAACAACCCTGCACTGGTGAACTGAGGGCCTGATCCTACACATCCTTGCACCCTGGGCAGTCATTTGCATCTGTGCAAATGCTCTAAAATCAGAATGGTACCATTCAGCGTTGCTGCTTCGTTATGTCGCACTGTACAATATTCAGTGTGTGCACACACACAAAGTATGATAGCTTGCAGATGAGCAGACAGTTTTTTAGCCAGGACTGACAATGCTTCCTAACAAGAGCATACAGCATTTATAGTCAAAAACACAGAGGGTTAACGATCACTCTTTATCACTGAAAATATTAAATTTCCATTTTGACTTACAGGTATTGCAGATTTTCAAGCCCTTCAAAAGCATTTCTTGAAATCTTCTGGATTTGGTTGTTATTCAGAAGACTGTAAAAAGGCAAAAAAATAGTACTATTTTAAGAATCATACACAACAATTTAATTCTCAATAACAGCAAGTTAGAAAATAATAAAGATCATCTGATTGAACCAAAGTAGATTTAAATATTTTACCAACATAGACTATTAAAACATATTTTAGCATTAAGAAAAACTAGAAGTGTGTGGAACAATTTTTTTCCCAATTAAACCCCTCTCTTCATGGTTGCACTCAATAATCATAAAATAATTAGCATCACAGACAGTGAAATTGATGCTGGCAGGGACAAGTTTAATTTTAACAACAAACAATTCATACACAAATTATTCACCAAAACTCTGCACTGCCTGTCTGGTAAATGAAAATTATAATATTTCTGTATTAGAGGGACACTGTTTTCCCTTGAAGTTCACATGATGGATGAAATCCTGACTCCATTGAAGTCAACAGTAAAATTCTCATTGAGTTCAGTGGGACCAGGATTTCATCCAAGGCATTTCCATGAAGGACGGAAATGTATTTTTTCATTCAGGTACCCTGTCTAGGCACAGATACTTGAACTACACTGAAAGTAAACTAATCAAGGCAGCTGCATCTGAATGTGTTAGGGAAAAGAACTCATTGTGCAGACTTCAGTATTCCAGCAAGTCCTGCACCACAATAAAATGAAACAGTCCTTTTGAGGAGCATGTCAGACTTAAGCCCTTCATGTGAACAATTCATTTTTGTTGTGTTTTTTTCTTGGTGTTACTGTTAAAGTCTGACACCAGAGGCAAGCCTGTCCATTTTGGGAAAGAAAATGGTTTAGTCTTCAAAACTTCAGCAAAAAGTATTAAATTCTTAAAATAAAGAGGGCACTTTTATGCACTTATAAGTGAAAAGGTACATACAAACATTTTTGGTGGATAAAAGATCATAAGGGCACCAGAATATAGATTTTATTCCACCCCTTCCATTTTCCAGATGTAGCCGTGAGAAGAGTTTCCACCTCCTTGGGGTAAACGTGGTCCCACCTCTTCTGTGACTTCCAATCTATCGAAATCTTAGGTCTCATTCCCCATGGATCATCCCTTGTGTAGTCATTTACACCTGCGCAAAGAGTATGCAAAGCTATACCATGCTGTATATGGAACCTCAGCTTTGGTGTTTCCTAACTTTTTGATGCCTGACCATTCAACCTTAATGTTCCCTTGACATACGTATAGAACATATCCTTGTGATAAGACAGATACAAATGAATACTCTATCTCTGTATTGTACCAGTTTTGAGCTTCAAATGTCTGAATAGTATTCTCCTACTTCTGATATTCAGTTTTTGTTCTGTACAATCAATAATTTAGGTAAAAAAGGTCTAGTACTGGTCTAGATTACTTTTGAACAAATAAGATGAGTTAATAAATGTTTCAAATGTCTCATATATCTGTGGAGTCATGATTTCCCAGTCATAATTTGTTAGGAATTTGGATTATCCAAAGATACGTTACATTTTGATCTATCTTTCAGGCTTACTTGGAAATGTTTTAATTCATTACAGAAATGGAATACATTTAAATGATTAACAATTGAATGTGTTTTATAATCAGAAACATCACTTTCCAGGGTTTTATTCAAAGCAATTTTTGTCTTAAATATTTTTGTGCTGTAATATTGATATATTATACATATTCCTGGCAATATCTTGGTTATAGTAGTTACAAACTACTTCTGAAGTTTGGTTGGTGTATTTTTCATACAGTATCTGTACAATTTCTGGATGAGATCTTCTGAGATAAAGATGGGAAAATGAGGATGAAAAGTAAAACAATGTTCTCAGTAAGGACATAGAAACCGATCTTAAGAGGGCACTTTGATTTTTAAGGTTTGATAAATAAAGAGTCCCAAATGATGATTCAAGAGGAAAGACAGAAATTCAGAAGTTCATTATGAGGTACAGAAATAAGAGTGACTGATGACAGCACTAGTGCTTATCCTTCAAATCACTGAATGAGAACATGAAACCTGAGTGGGCAAAGGAAGAGGGCACAGAGCCCTTATAATTACTCAAAACCAGAATAGCAGATTTACACATTTCAAGTCAGACTATCATATTGTAAAGATAGATAATTATTTTACCTGTTCCTAGTTTACTTTTTAATTGCAAAACCAATGAATTAAATACAATAAAATGTGAGCTAAGAAGTGTATCATGCATATTTTACTTATCTATGTACCTGAAGGACACCTGTCACCAACACTTTAGTATCTGAGCACCTCCCAAATATTTAAAAATAGATAAAACAATGTCAGTCTCTCTCTTTCTTCGTTTTTAGTCTGTAGGACAAATAACTTACTAGGTTATTATAAGCTTTTAAGTGTGTGTGCGTGCAAACATGCATATGTGTATAGAATTTTACTAAGAGAAGCTATATTAGAAAAAAAAAGTTTTGAATTTGTTCTGAATGTGGAGAGGTCTGTGATCTTTCTTATTACTTGCCAGAGATGGTTCCATAGACTTGGTCTAGCTCCCATGAAACTACTGCCTCCTACATTTATGTGCCTTCCCCAATGGTCAACTGTTGCAAAGTTTCAGTGGAATACGGCCAATTAAATTGGAGACTTTGAATATTAAGGTACAGAGAATGAACTGGAGTTTGTATTCTCTATATTGTGGCTTTTATTTTGAAGTTTATGAAAGGACTTCACAAACTTTGTATACAGACCATCCTGCCATTGAAATGCAGCCACCTCTATAATGAAACACAGCGAACAGTAATAAATCCAACAGTTTAGGATAAGAAATGAAGAACAATACCATAACCGTAGTGAATTTACGTACTGTTAGGCCTGTGCCATGGGTTAGTCCTGGGGCCGGTTTTGTTCAACATCTTTATTAATGATTTGGATGATGGGACTAATTGCACCCTCAGCAAGTTCACACATGATGGGGGAGAGGTAGATATGCTAGAGGGTAGGGATAGGGTCCAGAGTGACCTAGACAAATTGGAGGATTGGGCCAAAAGAAATCTGATGAGGTTCAACAAGGACAAGTGCACAGTCCTGCATTTAGGAAGGAAGAATCCCATGCACCGCTACAGGCTGGGGACCAACTGGCTAAGCAGCAGTTTTGCAGAAAAGGACCTGGGAGATTACAGTGGACAAGAAGCTGGATATGAGTCAGCAGTGTACCCTGTTGCCAAGAAGGCCAACAGCATATTGGGCTGTATTAGTAGGAGCACTGTCAGCAGATCCAGGGAAGTGATTATTCCCCTCTATTCGGCACTGGTAAGGCCACACCTGGAGTATTGTGTCTAGTTTTGTTCCCCCCACTACAGAAGGGATATGGACAAATTGAAGAGAGTCAAGCAGAGGGCAACAAAAATTATTAAGGGGCTGGGGCACATGATCTACGAGGAGAGGCTGGAAGAACTTGGGTTATTTAGTCTGCAGAAAAGAAGAGTGAGGGGGATTTTATAGCAGCCTTCAACTAGAATCATAGAATATCAGGGTTGGAAGGGACCTCAGGAGGTCATCTAGTCCAACCCCCTGCTCAAAGCAGGACCGATCCCCAATTAAATCATCCCAGCCAGGGCTTTGTCAAGCCTGACCTTAAAAACTTCTAAGGAAGGAGATTCCACCACCTCCCTAGGTAACGCATTCCAGTGCTTCACCACCCTCCTAGTGAAAAAGTTTTTCCTAATATCCAACCTAAACCTCCCCCACTGCAACTTGAGACCATTACTCCTTGTTCTGTCATCTGCTACCACTGAGAACAGTCTAGAGCCATCCTCTTTGGATCCACCTTTCAGGTAGTTGAAAGCAGCTATCAAATCCCCCCTCATTCTTCTCTTCCGTAGACTAAACAATCCCAGTTCCCTCAGCCTCTCCTCATAACTCATGTGTTCCAGTCCCCTAATCATTTTTGTTGCCCTCCGCTGGACTCTTTCCAATTTTTCGACATCCTTCTTGTAGTGTGGGGCCCAAAACTGGACACAGAACTCCAGATGAGGCCTCACCAATGTCAAATAGAGGGGAACAATCATGTCCCTTGATCTGCTGGCAATGCCCCTACTTACACACCCCAAAATGCCATTGGACTTCTTGGCAACAAGGGCACACTGTTGATTCATATCCAGCTTCTCGTCCACTGTAACCCTTCGGTCCTTTTCTGCAGAACTGCTGCCGAGCCATTCGGTCCCTAATCTGTAGTGGTGCATGGGATTCTTCCGTCCTAAGTGCAGGACTCTGCACTTGTCCTTGTTGAACCTCATCAGATTTCTTTTGGCCCAATTCTCTAATTTGTCTAGGTCCCTCTGTATCCTATCCCTGCCCTCCAGCTTATCTACCTCTCCTCCCAGTTTAGTGTCATCTGCAAACTTGCTGAGGGTGCAATCCACACCATCCTCCAGACCATTTATGAAGATATTGAACAAAACCGGCCCCAGGACCGACCCTTGGGGCACTCCACTTGATACCGGCTGCCATCTAGACATGGAGCCATTGATCACTACCCGTTGAGCCCGACAATCTACCTGAAGGGGGGTTCCAATGAGGATGGAGCTAGGCTCTTCTCAGTGGTGGCAGATGACAGAACAAGGAGAAATGGTCTTAAGTTGCAGTGGGCAAGGTTTAGATTGGATATTAGGAAACACTATTTCATTAGGAGTGTGGTGAAGCACTGGAATAGGTTACCTAGGGAGGTGGTGGAATCTCCATCCTTAGAGGTTTTTAAGGCCTGGCTTGACAAAGCCCTGGCTGGGATGATTTAGTTGGTGTTGGTCCTGCTTTGAGCAAGGGGTTGGACTAGATGACCTCCTGAGGTCTCTTCCAACCCTAATATTTTATGATTCTATGGTCAGAAGCTAGAGTCTAGGGTCCACAGCAAGGCAAGACCTGGAGCGGAAGCAAGCAGGCAGTTTGTGCCATTGCTCAGTTAGCTCCCCATGATGGCTTCTTGGTTTATATACCAGAATAATCCAACCTGTGGGCTATAGGGGGCCGCCACTGAGGCCAAGCTGGGCTGTACTTCCTGC